TTCTATAATCGAACCAATATTCGAATTTTATGTTCGAATTTAATTCGAACAAATTCGAAGAAAACATTCGAAATAGAAAGCCACTTTCAACTACTTTTAGCCTCATATCTCCCGCACCCTTATAGCTATCGAGACGCAACCACCCCTATGCACGAATGGAGACTTAGGGCTACCACTACATATAAACACCATTCACGTGCGATGTGTAGTTTTGGCGAAAAAGTGAAATATAGGGACATACATGTCCATTTTTATATATAGATATAGATATTGTTTATAACCATCGGTAAATTTTGGAACTATTATTTACAAACTCAAAAGGGCAAAAGCAATATTTGATATAGAAAAGAAAAATGTTGTGTCGTAAAGAATTTTAAATGCTTAAAGTTGATATTGGATGCACTGGAACTAAACTTTGGCCACAAAGCGATCTGAGCACTCATTCAAAGTCCCAGAACTATTTTTCCTACCGCTTTCGTAATATTGCAGCTATTGGTTGAGGAGTTACAAGTATAAGTATCTATTGGCTCTGATTCTATTGTTGATAGACACCACTTTTACGTAATCATTCTCGCATTATTGAATTTTTCGATTAGATATCGATCTACTTTCTTTCAGACATTTACTTTTTAACTCTATTCCACACGCTTTACATTGTTGAGAAAGGCATCAGAAAATTTCACTTTTAAGAAATATTCATAAATTCTACTTTAATTAATTCACAGAAAACCTATAAAGGGAGCAGTAATTGAAACACGACCTTATTGTCTATTAATTTAAATGGAATTCTTCAATAAATTTGCTGTTCGCTAGAATGAAATTTTGAAAGGAAACGTGTTTAACTTTACAACGTATTATTGATTGCTTTACGCTGATTAACTCGAACCAGAGAAACTTTATCAAGAACAGAAATTCTCCAATAAATTCTTCTTGTGGTTGACTGCATCTATAAAACTATACTTATAGAAATTTGAATATATTGAAAAATGTGTTATGAAGAATGTCAAGTATGAAACTTAATGAAAGAATGAATTTAGCCTATTTTATTTTTAAATCAAACGCTTTTGGTCAAGATCAGGGATGTAGTCATACGAACATTAAAATCATGGCTGTGGAGTCGGAGTCGGAGTCGAGTACAGTTTCTTATACAACATCAAACACTAACCTAATGACGTATTTTAAAAACTGATACTACCAACTTTGGGTGCAGTAAGCATGTATAGTTTTGCAGAACATTTTAGGTTTTTAGGCTCGAAGACTTCTATAGCGTTCGAGAAAGATGTTTCATTTCTAAAATTTCATNACTAACAGAAAGTAATAAATACTTGTCCTTAGAAACCAGAATTATATATCGTACTACGAAATTGCCTACAGGCAAATTAACATACGTGTTTCTCATGTTTAAATAATCTTTTCGAAAGTAGAATTGCATCATTTAGATTGTTCGCGTGAATACGGAAACTTACGATAGAAAACACTTGCGACTAATAAAAGGTAAATATTTTTGCCTAATTTTACATTTCATAGTCTTCGGAACACCTTGCTTTAACAAAAAAAATTTTAACAATAATATAAGTTAATTTTATATAATAAGATTTGATTAATTTTTTAAAGTAGGTCAAATAATTTTTGGTCTTTCCACAAGTCATAATCAAATAATGAAAATTGATTGCGTAAGAAAAACAATATCGTCCATTTTTCGCAAATTAGGAAGAATCATCGGTCTTCATCCCTACTACTTTATCCTTTTACCTGTTTTAATAACATCAACATTTTCAGCTTTCGTCTTTAACATAAACACCTCCGAAAACGTCACTAAATTGTCATTCGCAGATTCAGGAATAGTCTTTAATACTAAGAAGTTTATTGACAAAACATTTCCTTTTAATTCATCCATATTGCTTGACCCGACAACCTTTACGACTATTCCGAAATGCGTGTTTGTGGTGTTTACAAAGAAAGATGGCGGAAACATGCTACAAAGAGATGTGCTGCTAGAAATTAGTCGGGTGGATAAATTAATTAAGAATATAACAATTAATGACGCTGAAAAAGAAATTGGATATTCGGATCTCTGTGGACGTGTGAACCAAAAATGCTTTGAAAATCCCATCATAGAAATCTTACCAGAAATTGATAATATAGTGCAGAAGAAGAAGCGATTGAAGTATCCATTTGATATTGATCCGTTGACATACTCTTATAAAATTTATTCTATCAACTTCGGAGATGTCATCGAAGATGAGGATGATGTTGTTCAAACAGTAAGTGCTATGAGATTAATGTATTTTACGGACGAAAAATATATTGTAGTTAGCTAAATTTAATCTTATTGTTTAAATGAATGTTAGTGTGTCTTTTCTTGTTTCAACGGACAAAAGATAAATCTTCCAGTTGCATGAATCGAGTTATTAGTTTCGAATAACTCCGTTATCAACAGAAAACAGCCGTGTGATGTTTGTGGAATGCAACACAAGACATTATTAGAAGCAAAAGACGTCTTGTCTGTCAGCTAACAATTGTCTGATAAATTCAAGAAAAAATATATAAAATGCATATTAAAATTAAAATTATTATCTTTATAAAATATATGTATGTATGTTTTTATAGTTGGGGCTTAGAAGCCGTCAAAATTTGGAAAGTTTCGAGTAGGACCCTGCCACCCGGTGTGTTGTTGGGCATACTTCCAATTTTAGACAAGAAAAAAACAAAAAACCAGATGATTAAAGCGGGAAAGTTTTAACAACCTGCCTTTTTGTATATATATACAAATATACATGTGACATTTACTCTCAAATTTTTAATATAGATTTAAGATAATTATTTGAATTACTGTAATTTTAAAAATATGGTTGCCAAATTAGTTACGGGATTTCTGAAATTTCCTTTTTAATTTCAAATGAAAACATTTATTTCAATATAAATAAAATTCCTTTCGAGTTTTTCCTCCATTCTTCCTGAAGGATTATAAAACTTTTATCTAAATCTATACTTTACAACGTTTGAATGTTATCCAAATTTTAAAGTTATATTCTAAAACAAAAAATCTTATCATTTTCTTTTCATAATAGCAGCTACAAAAAATTTATATTTAATTTTAACACCCGGGATAGGAATTTTCTAGGACAAAGACATAAAAGTTTACGAGATTGACCTTCACTATCTTAACAACAGCAAAGTTTTCTTAACTTGTAGTAATTTATAATAATTGTATAAATTAACGTATAATTATATAGAAATATTTTATGGAGGAAAGATTCGTGTAAGTTTGTGTAACTGCAGCTGCCAGGAGGATTGAAATACTAATTTGATCACACTTACAATAAAACCCATAAATAGATATTTGAAAGAGCGATGTTGGCATCTTAAACAAAAACGCATTTGTTTTGAGATGTCAACATTGCTCGTTCGTGCCCGGTAGAGTTTTTAAAATTCTTGAAACCAGCTGGACAGAACTGCAAACAGAGGTTGGAGAACTAGTAATGCTTTTGCATTAATAAATTGCAAAATTTGGATCACCAAAGTAAAGCAATCTGACAAAAATAATCTTTTATATTTGTCCTGCAAGCCTAAGAATTAGTTTTCGATTTTTTACAGTTTTCTTACTATAAATGTTCAGGTCAATAAATGCATATTTTACTTACTAGGACATTGTGTTCTCTATCATTTCCACCCTCTCTGAAACTCAAGCAATGGTGAGCACATGTTGCTAGGATAAACTAACGGAGAGAAAAGTTTCCTGAAAAAAGCTTCTACGAGTGTGTCTTGTTAATCATATAAACTATCTATTGCATTTCAAACGTTTAATGAAAAAAAGATACAGAATAAGCAAAGTCTAATAAAAAGTCTATAAAAATTTTAAATATTCAAAAAAATAAAAGAATTATCATAATGAAATGCAATTTCCATTGTAAATATTATAAGCACAGATGTATTTGTTGACAAGGAAAAGAAACTAAGTCCCAAAATTACTGAAAGGATGCGTTCATATACAAAAGACAATGAAAATGACATTCAATGTGACTTCTGATTTTTCATATTTTCTGATTGTAAAAGTATTTAAATTCCAAAGTATTTTGATCAGATTCTTCGAAATTGTTAAAATTAAAAATTACTACAGTATATTGCCTTGAGATGACATCCATCCATCAAGAGATAAAATGAAAATGCCAGATGGGGCAGATGGAGCAGATTGGGGCAGATGTAGGTTTATCGGGGCCTCGGGGTTTATTGAAGTCCAATGGATCCTTATTTTTTCTTAATACAAACATTATCATTATTATTACATTATTAATATTAACTATTTTTTACTATACAAAGTGTTCATTGCTAGTGAAAAAGTATTAAAAATTTAACTATTTTTATGTTCCCTTGGCATTTGGGGGCTCAGAGCTTAAGCCTTATTAGTCCTATGTAGATTCGCCCCTGCTGCAGATGCAGGCATTTTTACTTAGTTAAACTCAGTTTAACCCTGTAATAGAGGCCATGTCGAGCACTTGACTAGTGACTATATTCACAGTCATTTTCATTGTTCTTTTACTTGACTTGACTCTATCACTGATGGTTGAGTGGGAGCTGTATTTGCATTTATTTTGTTTCTCAACGCCATCTAATGGTGGATTTTGAAACTAATTTTTTGTCAACAAAAACTTATCATAGAAACAATACAATGCAAAGAGCATTTCATTTTGATTTTTTCCATTATTTAATGAATGTTTAAATTTATTGCCAACTTTTTGTCCACCCTGTGTAATTTTTCTGTATAATAAAAGAAGTTTGTGAAAGGATCTATAGAATTAAAATAATTGAAGTGACCTTGAATAGGGTAACATGAAGATAATATCAGAACTTTACTCATAAAGCATCACTCAACTAACCATTTTCTGAAGCACAATGTAATTGTAGCTGGATAGAATTTCAAATTCTTGTAACTATAGAGGTAAAAAAATATATTGTAGTTAGCTAAATTTAATCTTATTGTTTAAATGAATGTTAGTGTGTCTTTTCTTGTTTCAACGGACAAAAGATAAATCTTCCAGTTGCATGAATCGAGTTATTAGTTTCGAATAACTCCGTTATCAACAGAAAACAGCCGTGTGATGTTTGTGGAATGCAACACAAGACATTATTAGAAGCAAAAGACGTCTTGTCTGTCAGCTAACAATTGTCTGATAAATTCAAGAAAAAATATATAAAATGCATATTAAAATTAAAATTATTATCTTTATAAAATATATGTATGTATGTTTTTATAGTTGGGGCTTAGAAGCCGTCAAAATTTGGAAAGTTTCGAGTAGGACCCTGCCACCCGGTGTGTTGTTGGGCATACTTCCAATTTTAGACAAGAAAAAAACAAAAAACCAGATGATTAAAGCGGGAAAGTTTTAACAACCTGCCTTTTTGTATATATATACAAATATACATGTGACATTTACTCTCAAATTTTTAATATAGATTTAAGATAATTATTTGAATTACTGTAATTTTAAAAATATGGTTGCCAAATTAGTTACGGGATTTCTGAAATTTCCTTTTTAATTTCAAATGAAAACATTTATTTCAATATAAATAAAATTCCTTTCGAGTTTTTCCTCCATTCTTCCTGAAGGATTATAAAACTTTTATCTAAATCTATACTTTACAACGTTTGAATGTTATCCAAATTTTAAAGTTATATTCTAAAACAAAAAATCTTATCATTTTCTTTTCATAATAGCAGCTACAAAAAATTTATATTTAATTTTAACACCCGGGATAGGAATTTTCTAGGACAAAGACATAAAAGTTTACGAGATTGACCTTCACTATCTTAACAACAGCAAAGTTTTCTTAACTTGTAGTAATTTATAATAATTGTATAAATTAACGTATAATTATATAGAAATATTTTATGGAGGAAAGATTCGTGTAAGTTTGTGTAACTGCAGCTGCCAGGAGAAAAAATTGTGTATGAGTTTTCTATATTTCTTCATCCAAAAAGGCTGGAAATTAATGCTCTTTTTTATTTTATTCACTATAAAATATTATATAATTCCTTTACTATTGTTGTCTTTTTGTTAAGTAAAGAGTACACATCTTTAATGAAAATTGTCATTACCTAATTAAAAATTTTCCAATTTCACATAATTACTTTTCACTCCTTAGCTATACACATTTACCTGCTGTAAGCATTATTATCTAATATATTTCAGTAGTGTAAAAAGAAAATGTTGCTAATTATTATTTTATATTACTATAATAGTTATATATATGCACATTTACATGAATAATTTTTTAAAATATTTAGGTTTCAATAACTAAAACTACATAAATCTAGTGTTATGTTTAAATTGTTTAAATTTAGTCATAAAAATAGCAATAGTAAATCACGAGTAAATAAATATTAATGACGAATTTCGTTATCAACATCTGTAAGTAATTATTAAGCAACTATTTACTTTATAATAATCTTAAAAATATAAAAAGTAACATATGATATTCAATTTTTTTCTTCGTTTTTAATGTATAGAATCAATCAACATATCTTGTCTTTAGAAAAAAAAAAACTAACAGAAAGTAATAAATACTTGTCCTTAGAAACCAGAATTATATATCGTACTACGAAATTGCCTACAGGCAAATTAACATACGTGTTTCTCATGTTTAAATAATCTTTTCGAAAGTAGAATTGCATCATTTAGATTGTTCGCGTGAATACGGAAACTTACGATAGAAAACACTTGCGACTAATAAAAGGTAAATATTTTTGCCTAATTTTACATTTCATAGTCTTCGGAACACCTTGCTTTAACAAAAAAAATTTTAACAATAATATAAGTTAATTTTATATAATAAGATTTGATTAATTTTTTAAAGTAGGTCAAATAATTTTTGGTCTTTCCACAAGTCATAATCAAATAATGAAAATTGATTGCGTAAGAAAAACAATATCGTCCATTTTTCGCAAATTAGGAAGAATCATCGGTCTTCATCCCTACTACTTTATCCTTTTACCTGTTTTAATAACATCAACATTTTCAGCTTTCGTCTTTAACATAAACACCTCCGAAAACGTCACTAAATTGTCATTCGCAGATTCAGGAATAGTCTTTAATACTAAGAAGTTTATTGACAAAACATTTCCTTTTAATTCATCCATATTGCTTGACCCGACAACCTTTACGACTATTCCGAAATGCGTGTTTGTGGTGTTTACAAAGAAAGATGGCGGAAACATGCTACAAAGAGATGTGCTGCTAGAAATTAGTCGGGTGGATAAATTAATTAAGAATATAACAATTAATGACGCTGAAAAAGAAATTGGATATTCGGATCTCTGTGGACGTGTGAACCAAAAATGCTTTGAAAATCCCATCATAGAAATCTTACCAGAAATTGATAATATAGTGCAGAAGAAGAAGCGATTGAAGTATCCATTTGATATTGATCCGTTGACATACTCTTATAAAATTTATTCTATCAACTTCGGAGATGTCATCGAAGATGAGGATGATGTTGTTCAAACAGTAAGTGCTATGAGATTAATGTATTTTACGGACGAAAGCGACGAAAATAAACTTCATCTCATAGATAAATGGCGAGCGGCGGTTTACAATCGTATAAGAAATCATCGTTTTAAACACCTTCTGTATTTTATCGATTATTACTGGTTGCTTGAGGAGCGAAATCTGCAGTTGGTTGAAAATGTAAAACCCATGATCGGTGCACTGGTTGGATTTATTTCTGTGTTCACTATTGTAACGTACATGAGCAATAATTGGGCCAAAAGCAAACCAGTTCTTGGCGTGGCGAGTGTGGTATCGGCTGGACTGGCCGTGGTTACGTCTTTCGGTTTAATGTCTGTTCTAGGTACAGAAAATTCTATTTGGAACATCACAATTCCTTTTTTGGTTCTGGGTAAGTTATTATTTATAATTTTGCCGTTATTCGTTCGTGTTATAAGTTTTGTATTGTAAAAATTTGTTTGTTGCAGTAACCGAAATAGACGATGCTTTCGTATTGTTGGCGTGTTGGAGAACATCGAACCCCAAGCATAAAGTACCGAAACGCATGGAAGAAACGTTTGCCGAAGCCGGAGTTTCTATAACATTAACGTCGTTGACTAATTTGTTTTCCTATTGTATAGGAATGATGGCATCTATTCCTCTTGTAAGAATGTTCTGTTATTATTCCGCAACATGCACAGTATTTACTTTTTTGTATCAGGTGACATTTTTTGGTGGATGCATGGCGTTATCGGGATACAAAGAAGAGAAACAACAATCTCTTCCTATTAATTTCGGTAAGCACATTCACTTTATTTTTGTCTTGAATGCTGTCAGTTAGAAATTTGGTCTAAATATCACATATATGGCTAATATATAGTGGAATTTCTTAAAAAATTGAGTTTTATTCAAACATTGTGCTACCGGGTATTTTATGAATAGATTACCGTAGACAGTTTATTTTTTTACTACTAAATATATTATTAAAGTATTATTTATCGTTGGTTTGCGTTATTTAAATTCTAACACGAAATTTCTCACAAATCTCATACACAACGATACTACAGCGATTAGTTGAGCTTAAAGTTTTTTGTATGATGAGGAAAAGTTAAAAAGTGGTGTTGAAGCAGTTAGACTCAATCCTCAGGAAAGGACCAGAAGATCTGTTGTAGTAAAATTAGAATAATGCATTGAAAGTTGTCGTATTTAATACTGTTACATCAATTGTGTACCAATTATAACAGGTATGTTCAAGATTTGCAAAAATAGTAATGTATTTGTCAGTTTATTAATGTTAATGGATTTGTTTCAATATGAAACAAAAACGAAGTAATAATAATTATTATTATAATATATTTATTTTTAAAAATACCGTATTTCATTCGCTTTTGTTGATCGTGGAGCTATCAGATAGACTTGATTAGTCTTGTTGTTAATTATTCGAATTTTACACACTGAGTTGACAATTGTAGAAGTATACTTGCAAAATTGTATTCACGTGTTCGATTGGGCGTTCCTGTCTCTTTTGCATTTTATATAAGTCTTCAGTGAAGTAGAAATTTTCAGACTGTTCACGATTATTTTGACATACCAAACATCGAGGCTATTTGATTGTGTGGTAAGAGGTGTCTCTTTTAACAGCTAGAATTATAAGGGAAAAAACTGCGATGTATCACATTTCGGGAAAGGTCAAACTTATTGAAAATTTTACTCCTAATTGCTGTCTATATTTGCTTTAAAATCTTACCCGCATTTCCAGAAATAAGACTTTAGATTATTTGTAGTTATTAATAACATACAATGATTTAAAATACCTTATGTTCACAGATATCGCTGCAGAAAGGTTTAACTTAAATTCATATTGTTAATGACTAAAAAATTTAACTAGTAATACATTGTAAGTGTTGTGATCTCATTTATCTCTACACAAGCAATACAGCTGACGCATCTGTAAAAAATATGTGTTTATTAACATATCTACACACACAGACACACTTTACTCAAAGGTATAGCCTTAAAATATAAGAAAAATGGGTGAAGGAAGGTTGGAAAATGATTAAAGGAAAAGTTGGGCTAGTTGAATGTTTGAAATTGGAAGGAAAAGAACATGAGCCGCAAAGGGGCCGGCTGGATAAGACAAGGGTAAACAATAATTTACGCGTGTAGAACAATTTGTATTTACAGGGAAGAAATAAACCCATAAAGTAATACATTGAGGAGTAGGACAGATAAGGCCATTTTGATAAAAGTTAGCAAAAGGAGGAGTGGCACTGAAAAAAAGCAATGAGTCTCCTTGTGGAGGGAGCCCTGTTGATCCAGAAATAAACATATCAAGAAAAAATTAATAATACTTCACTTATTTTGTGCACTGTAGATGTAAACATAATGCATACCGTTTTAAAGGAAATAAAGCATAGGCTGACTTGTCTTTTGGAATAATAATAGCAAATTATCTATAAGGTTAATGATATCACCAAACGGGAAATAATTTATTTAAAGCTAAATGTCTAATTGATGTTAATGAGTCATACTTTCACATATAATGCAACGGTGCAACATACCCAACCATGTGCATTGTGTGAGAACCAAGGGTATAGGGTTGATACCTATATCACTTACAGGCACACGATCATGAGATCGGTTCACTAACTTTTTATAGGAGGGCGGCAAATTATGTTTAAAAACGATCTAGAGGATTAATTCTAGATCTCGTCAGGTCCCGACACCAGTTAATCAGATTTAGATACGTGGATTAATTAACACGTGTGTAGAGCTAATATAGATTTGGTTCAGACAAAGATGAGACATTTCTTTAACAAATGAACAAATATTTAATAAAACTAAATAGATAAATTCATACAACAATCTAATATTCTAATACTAAAACTAAACCTATGCTTATTCTAGGAGAGCGGTTTCGAGAGAGTCTTACAATAATCTATTTCTAATATTACCTTCACCGGTAGGCAATTAACCTACTTCCTCTTATATGCTTTATTCTTCAAGGATTCTCTTCCGTACTTAATTCAGTACTTCATATTCTTATAAGAGTTTGTTGAGTTCGTTTCTTCTCAATAGCTGGTTTCTTCGTATGGCTTTTCTCTTTTACTGGACTGCCTTATATCGTATGTCTAAACTTCTTATGTATTTCCTTAGTATGGCAATTGTCTCTTCTTGACTGATTTGCCGCGAAGATACGGTATTTTACATATGGCAAGACCTTCCTCTGATGGACTGCTGCCTCGAGTGGCGCGAAAACGGCCTTTTTATTGTGTAGATAAAATCTTGGTGAAGTTCGAAATATTATTTTCTCTAAAATTTTTAGTTTTTTTTCGAACCTATTATATTGTCTATAAACTTTCTCGCCCCTTTCGACCCTCACAATTGTACAAAAGCATAAATTCGAATTAAATATGTTGAATACAATGACAAAACTAGCAGCAATAGAAACATTCTTTTTACACGAAAAGGTGTAAAGTCTGAGTGCTCATCAGTATTGTTTTGGTTTGGATGGATAAGCAAAGATTAAAACAGTGTGTCGTGTATAATAAATATTCTATTCTTAATCTATTATTCAAAACAATTATTGCATTTTATGATATTATTATGTTAATTTTTTTATAATAGTGGAATAACTCGGGTGGATGATGGTTATGCTTTTGTTTTGCTTATGAGTACATTTCTCTGATTTATAGTATACAAACTATGACCAAGCATATAAGATATCTTGGTCCTTTGGTGTGTTGAAAGTGGACGTAGTTCTTGTCAATTACTTTTATCTATTGGAGCAAAATTATCTAAATACGTATAAGCGAATTTCCATTTTTTCTACAACGTATAGAAGTCCGATGAAAAAAACTGATTCGGTAAAGTTGCTTATACAAACCTGTTTAATGTACAGATCTTGAAATTACAGATTCGAATATGGTGGCTCCATAGGGAACATTGATGTCTTGTCTTAGTGTTTATAGAACTCGATATATGTAACGCTATACATTTCTTTTCAGATCACACTTTGAAAAAAAACGAATGAGTTACATTTCATAAAAACAATTGAGTTTTTATTCTAGAACTGTGAAATTATCTTCATTACATCAGAAAGTAAGATCATATGTTTAATCTGTTCATTTTGTCTTCTTTCTAACGACAAAAATACCTGTGGAATTCGGGAAGTGCTTCTGTATATTTATTTTGTTGTAACTTAATTCATAAACGCAACAATAAACATAATAAATTTAAGGTACTCTCTGTACAACACCACAACTTACAAGATAAACATCAGCTTTGTGTGGAATTTGAGATGTTATTTTATTGTACTCGGTAAAATGTTTTCATTAATGATTAGCTAACAACTAGTTTTGCTAGATATGATTAATATCACGTTTTAGTTGCAGTTTAATCGACATGCCGAAACACCAGGGTAATTAGAATCCTGGACATCTCTGTTGATATGCCACATACCAGTCAGTACGTTACCATCTTTTGCCAACTTATAGAGTAAGATAGGTTCTTGATTCACAATACAACTTAACTGCTTTGTTTCTTGTCAACAGATATACCTAACAAATATTGTATTTTCTTTCTTTTTGGAAAAATATTGATTGTGTTAGGATTTGGTCTCTAAATAGCATCCTGGAAAAAACGTATAATAGTTTTAGACCAAAACGTCGAGCCTACGAGTTTTTATAATTGTAAATTAATAAATACAAAATAATTACTGAACATAAACACGCAGTGTTGTGAATGATGTGGTGGCGACATTTGTCGAAAGATTGACGAATTTTAAGTCCTCACCATCTTACTCGTGTTAACTTATTATGGAAAATTTTAAAAATTATTTTAGGTACTCTTTCACTAAATTCAAATAAGAATATTTATCCTTAAATTCCAAAAAAAATTTTTTAGACAATACAAACAATGATTAATTTTTTTTCTTTTTCCTATTTATATCCCTTTATTTCATTCCAGGAACCACAAAAATCAGGCGTCTTAAAGTAAAACTTATAAAAATAACATACGAAATACTATCAAACGATTTACACACATTTTGAAATGACCCTTTCTAAAATTTAGCTAAGATAATCGTGGGCTAATATGCACAGTACAGTCGACCCCCCTATAAGATAGAGATACGTTCCATTCTCTAGGAATCCGCTTTCTTACGAATCCTTCCAATCACAATCCGACACGTGTCAAGTTTACGGACTACGGCTGTTTGAAAGATTTTCTTCCATAAAATTAATCGATTCTAGACTAATCCGACTCAACATTTCCAAAATACGTATATATTTTTTGGGAATAATCCGTATAAACTACGCTATAAACAAAAAATTGTAGGATTACTTACCGAGTGTCACCATTCGACATTGCCATTGCTCAACATTGTTTTCGTCGCGGAACAGCTCAGCAAAGAGCGGCCGATTTCTAACAACTTATTTTTCTGTGAAAACTTCGTAGAACTTCGGAGACATCATTAATATAAATAATTTTAATCGCCGTTGAATAAGAAATGTTTCTTTCACAAGAAATGTATAAAATTACAGTACTGTATTAGACTTACGGTACCTAATTTACATACTGACAGACGATAGTTAGCGTAAAAATCTCCGTAGCGTGGCGCCACGCTAGACGGCGGAAATTATATATTTAATTATAACAAAGTTACAATAAGTTAATATATAATTATATATACAGTACCTAATTTATATATAATTAATATATAATTATATGTACAGTACCTAATTTATATATAATTTATATAATACTGTCCAGACGATAGAAATCTCTCCGTAGCGTGGCGCTACGGACGGCGGGAAAGTAGTTCGGCTTCCCGATGACGTT